AAAACCCGGTGAGTGGGCTACTCGACGACTACACTCATCTTAGGGATTAGTCGGGTGGTAAAAACTCGGACACCCCCGGTTATAAAAAAAAATAATAGAAAAAACTACACGTAATATCAATCGTAATTTATGATTTTGATAATAAAAATACGACATGTAATATGTATATATATGCAACTTTTTTTTTATAAACCGTAGGAGTTCTGAATCTTTAGCTCATAATCTCTTCGGTATCCGGAGTCAGTTTTTAGATAATCCGATTTTAAGATTAACCCACCGTACCAAAAGAGATTTGAACCCGGGATACAAAAAAACTAATTCCCTTGTGTCATTATATATTGTAACGTAGTTTGGCATGTGGATTAAAATCATACAATCTCGGATGGCTTATGATTTTGCTAATGTTATTATCCGAATTTGTTTTATAAATCAAAATATTTAGTAGAGTCGTATTTTCCATTCATTATGTGATCTTTTACCACAATCTTGATAAATAAATTTTGAACTTATCCATTATTTTCTCAATTCTGCATGCCTTTTTTCATGGGTTTTCAGTGTTATCAGTATGTTAAATTTAGTTGATATTGTGAAATTCGTAAGTGAATGAGGAGAATACCTCTTTGTTTAAAATTTTTATTAAGTGTATGGATAATCCTTTACAAACCTTTTTAATAAGTTCCAAAACCGACACAATTAAGGCATTTTTCTGCTCACAAAAGAAATATTTTTTATTTGTACACTTATAGATTTGAAGTCACAAGAATAACAATTGATTTTTCATTCTGATTCTATTTGGCGTATATTAAAAACTTATTTCGATAATCAAAGTTATAAAATTGGATGTGATTTGAGATGGAAGGGATCACTTTAATCATCCCCCAAATTTTAAATATTTGTCTCACTATATATAGTTAACCCAAACCGGTCTATCAGTAGCCCGACCTGATTGGACATTTTCCTACCGTAGCTTCGGCCGATCCTACTGATGAATTAATGTAACGTTTGTTTAATTTTGTGATATTATTCTCTTGGGTGATGTCAACTCAAAAGTATATATGTTGACCAAAGAAGATTATATTATACGACGGTATTACATATTGGACGAAAGAGCTGCGAATAATTCCATGGCAGTACCGTATAACAAGGCACCTATTACACTTTTAGGTCGTCATGTTGAAATGCTTTTTTTCATGTGATATGCTCGAGACTTTGAGTGCCGATAGAAATATAATGTTTAAAATGCTGGTATTCTTATAATGTCTCCAAACAAAATCTTTAACATCT